ACACTGCAGTGACTTTACCTCATTACTGATGTCTCACTCTCACACTGCAGTGACTTTACCTCATTACTGATGTCTCACTCTCTCTCACTGCAGTGACTTTACCTCATTACTGATGTCTCTCTCTCACACTGCAGTGACTTTACCTCATTACTGATACCTCACTCTCTCACACTGCAGTGACTTTACCTCATTACTGATGTCTCACTCTCTCACACTGCAGTGACTTTACCTCATTACTGATGTCTCACCCTCTCACACTGCAGTGACTTTACCTCATTACTGATGTCTCACTCTCTCACACTGCAGTGACTTTACCTCATTACTGATGTCTCACTCTCTCACACTGCAGTGACTTTACCTCATTACTGATGTCTCACTCTCTCACACTGCAGTGACTTTACCTCATTACTGATGTCTCACTCTCACACTGCAGTGACTTTACCTCATTACTGATGTCTCACTCTCTCACACTGCAGTGACTTTACCTCATTACTGATGTCTCACTCTCTCACACTGCAGTGACTTTACCTCATTACTGATGTCTCACTCTCTCACACTGCAGTGACTTTACCTCATTACTGATGTCTCACTCTCTCACACTGCAGTGACTTTACCTCATTACGGATGTCTCCCTCTCTCACACTGCAGTGACTTTACCTAATTACTGATGTCTCACTCTCTCACACTGCAGTGACTTTACCTCATTACTGATGTCTCACTCTCACACACTGCAGTGACTTTACCTCATTACTGATGTCTCACTCTCACACTGCAGTGACTTTACCTCATTACGGATGTCTCCCTCTCTCACACTGCAGTGACTTTACCTAATTACTGATGTCTCACTCTCTCACACTGCAGTGACTTTACCTCATTACTGATGTCTCTCTCACACTGCAGTGACTTTACCTCATTACTGATGTCTCACTCTCTCACACTGCAGTGACTTTACCTCATTACTGATGTCTCACTCTCAAAGACTGCAGTGACTTTACCTCATTACTGATGTCTCACTCTCTCACACTGCAGTGACTTTACCTCATTACTGATGTCTCTCTCTCTCACACTGCAGTGACTTTACCTCATTACTGATGTCTCACTCTCTCACACTGCAGTGACTTTACCTCATTACTGATGTCTCATTTTTATAAAGTGTATTAAAGACTTTCAAAAATTTTGCATTCAAATAAAAAGCCCCTATGACCTATGACCCCACAGGCATCGTCTCTGGAGGACTCCTTCAGCCCGGACCTGGACTTTCCTCTCAGCCTCCCTCTCTCTGATGCCGAGGAGACCCCAGTGCTTCCGTCTGAACCGGACCGGTCCTGCACCGACCCGGAGCCGATCCGGGAGCCCCACTTCAGCGCCTGCGTGTCCTGCGACCACAACTACACGGTGGAGGACACGGGTCAGCAGAAGAGACGAGTCGAGCAGCTGCAGGAGCAGATGGAGAAGCTGCGCAAGAGACTGAAGACGGTCCAGCAGAAGTGCAGGCGTCAGGAGCGGCAGCTCGAGCGCTTCAGAACCATGCGCCGGGTCCAGATCCAGAGCCAGAAGGACACCGCACCAGGGTCATCCTACGTCATTCTGCCCACAGAGATCTACGACGTGCTGAAGGGCATCGAGACCATCGGGGCGCTGTGAGGGGTTAATCCTCTGTCAATCACGACCTGAGTTCCGAGTGTGTGTGGACGGCAGACGAGAGGCTGAACTGGACGTGACTTCATGGATTCACTTCAGGAGAGAATCAGGAACAAACTAAATATCCAATCAGGTCTCGGAAGATTCTGCAGCTTTTCCGAACCGATCCGGGCAGAGTAACTAAACCCTTCAGCACTGGTTGAGTCTGTGCTCTTCAGTGCCGAGTGAGAAATAGCTCGAGAAAGACACTGACCCGATGACCAACGCTTCAGTCAATCAGGTTCTCATTTTCAGGAGATTTCCAGATCAGTGTTTGTTCAGTTATTAACTGTATTTATAATTTAAATGTCTGGAAATGTTATTGAATATTTTATTTTTATTTGATTAATGTACTAAGATGACCAAACTGGACTTTACTAAACCCTTTTCAGTAGCTGTATAGTCTCGTATCGAAGGGCTGTTTTGAGTTAGTTGTTTTTTTGCTTCTTGCTGAATAATTTATTGCTTACAAAACAGTAATAATTATGAAATAAATTAAATTAAGCCATATTTGGGGGGAAAGTCGTTTTTTTTAATATATTTTTTTGGTGAGAAAAGTTCAATCATAGTTGCCTTACGGTGGTTTGACTGTTTTAATACATGATTCTCCTTCTCGACCTGTTTGTGCTTGAGTTTCTGAATGATGATGTCACGATTCTGTAAAGTATGTGTTCGAAACACCACAAAACTTCACCTCAGTACAGAAAGATTCCAGCAAAATATGAATTACTGCAGTCATATTGTAATAAATAAATATGGTACATGCTTCAAACCGAGACTTACAGAATCTGTTATTTTGATTTATTTGGCATTTTAGTTTGTTATGAAAGGGTGGCTAATAAGTTCATTACAGTGTTACCGTAGTATCTACTCTGGTAAACTGGGAACAGACGGATAAACTTGCAGATAAACAAGCAGATCGGATCAGAAGCCAATCAGGACACGGTGCATTTACACCTGTCCACATCAAGTGGCTTCTGTATCTGGATAACGGATTGGATCTCGCATTCCCGGGAAAAAATAAAATAAAAGGATGGCTCCGGTGCAAAGTCGACCTGAACTGGTGTTTTTTTTTTTAAAGACCGTTTTCAATCGGGGGACATTTTACAAATTTCGCAAAATGAGGAGGAAGAAGAGGCTGCAAGTGTTAATACTGTGGAGATGTCGTAATGGAAACGGTACAGAGAAACGTATCCGAGAACGTCGCTGCTGTGGTGGTGTTGGATACAAATTTATTAAAGGAACACTATGCAGGACTTTTGTTACTATTGACTTGTCTTGTGTTCTCTTTTATTATTATTTGCCATTATCTGTAGACTGTTTTAACTCTACAACCATTTGGTCTACTTTGTAGTGGAAAGGGCTCTATAAATAAACTAGAATTGAGACTTGACATGTTCACGGCCCGCTCAGTCGCTGAACTGAACGTAAGTGACACATCATTCGCGTCAGGTCTACAGTGCACGTACAACAGAGTGTATGAGTGACTTGCTCACTTGGGAACAAAGTTCTGAAAACCAAAGCACTCAAAAAAAAACAAATACACTAGACAGTGCACATGTGCAGAAAACGTCCTTCCACCCACGCGGCCAGAGGAGTATACTTTGAAAGGCTGACGCTCTCAACTGTGCGTGAGACGGAGCGGAAAAATGTAGTATACCCGGGTCCTTTAAGGAACCGAAGATGCGTGCTTTGGTGCATCACCGTTAATGTGCTCATGACAAGCCACAACGGCCGTCCAATAAAGTTCCAGCGCGGAGTGGGAGTGACTTTCCTTCGGAGAAGAAATCAGTATCCCCTCAATCAGGCACTGATACGGCGATACAGATCTTCGCCCGTACCAAGCTTTAAATACGCGTTACTTCAACGCAACGCACTTCATTGTAGCTCGATCAGATTCTCCCTCCCTCAACAGGTCGGCCCCTAGAGACCGCAGTGCAGAATCTGGGAACTCCACAGTGTCCGTAACAGCAACGTCATGATGCTTGTGGACCATGTCTTTGCTGGCCAGCAAGAAGCCATCAAAATCAGTGACAGACCCTTCTGCGTACACCGGCATTCACCCCAGCGGGGCTCCACTCCATAATCAAGAAAACAGCGGGTGCTAGTGTTTTCTACAGACGTAAAAAAAGATCCACATCGGCCCTGCCAAAACTGATCCCAGATCTGCACCACTATTCAAGTGTGCACACGCCACTCCATATCAAAAGCCTCTGTCCCCCTCTCAGCAGGACAGCGAGGGAGTGAGGGAATACTGTAACCCTTGCCTAAATATACACGACCACTGTCGTATATATCATTCTGAATAACACGTTTGCACTGTTGTGCCAAGTGTTTTATTATCAGGTTATTTATTAACTCCAAAAAGGGTTAGTGTGACGCTCTTACAGCACTGGTGTCACCACACCACTGGATTGTGGCAATATGCATCTGCAGATCCACCGACGTAAGCCAAGTCCGAGGATGCAGAGGGCATAACATGGGACGTACTGCAAGCCTAAAGTGTTAAAGTGTTTGTTCATCTGCTGTAAGTCTAAGATAGGGCGCAAAACCCCATTTTTTTGGTAGGAGGAATTACTGGCTGAAAAACCTCTTCCTCCTCAGTCCTAGCGAACCCCAAGGTCCTGTTGCAAACATCGCTCAGCTGTATGTTGCACATCACTGCCTTTCCCCCGTCGGCACACGGCCAGACTGTGAGATTAGCGATTCTAATGCATTCGTATTGTTTTGAAAAGTAAACACATGATGCTTTGTTTGCTGAACACACATTTATTTTATTGACAACATACTCAAAAAATTAACCCGCTATCTTGCAGGGTTATTTCTCCCCAATCTGGATAGATCTAGACTCATGGCAGCCAGAGGAACATCGTTGTGAACACGACACTCCTCCGCCTCTACTCGATCGTCCAGTTGTGGCCTCCACAAACATGAGCATCTGAATTAGTGCACGAAGACAGGAGCGGGCCGTGTTGAGCACGCGCTACACGCTCGAGGGAGGAGCTATAGAGATAGAGCTAGTGCACACATGCATCGGGCTGGAGAGATCCAGCCTAGCGTGGACAATGCCAAACACACTGGCGTGAGCAACGTTATACACACACCCACATGCCCTTGCACAGGCATCACACAACTTATGTTTAGATATTTCTCATGAAAAAGTTTATTAGCCATTTGTAAGTCGTGCTAAACTTGAGCTAAAAACTTCTCTTTTATGGCTTTTCCTTCAACAAGAGTCACCATCGTGGGGTTTCTTGTGAATGTGGCATGTTTGAACATTTTGTTTGAGAAAAACGTATTAGCCATTCGTTAGCAAAGCTGAACTTGTGCTAAAAGCTTTCTCTTTCTGCCTTAGTTTCGACAAGAATCCCACCATGGGTTTTTCTTCTTGCGAGACTTTGCCGTGCTGGTGTTCGAATGGCTCCTGAAGAGCTGAAGACTGAAGAACTGAAGACTGAAGAGCTGAAGAGCTGAAGACTGAAGACTGAAGAGCTGAAGACTGAAGAGCTGAAGACTGAAGAGCTGAAGACTGAAGAGCTAAAGAGCTGAAGACTGAAGATCTGAAGAGCTGAAGACTGAAGACTGAAGAGCTGAAGACTGAAGAGCTGAAGACTGAAGTGCTGAAGAGCTGAAGACTGAAGAGCTGAAGACTGAAGAGCTGAAGACTGAAGACTGAACTGCTGAAGACTGAAGAGCTGAAGACTGAAGACTGAAGAGCTGAAGACTGAAGAGCTGAAGACTGAAGAGCTGAAGAGCTGAAGACTGAAGAGCTGGAGGCTGAAGACTGAAGACTGAAGAGCTGAAGACTGAAGAGCTGAAGACTGAAGACTGAAGATCTGAAGAGCTGAAGACTGGAGATTGGAGGCTGAAGACTGAAGACTGAAGAGCTGAAGAGCTGAAGACTGAAGAGCTGAAGACTGAAGAGCTGAAGACTGAATACTGAAGACTGAAGAGCTGAAGACCTGAAGACTGAAGACTGAAGCGCTGAAGACTGAAGAGCTGAAGACTGAAGAGCTGAAGAGCTGAAGAGCTGAAGACTGAAGACTGAAGAGCTGAAGAGCTGAAGATCTGAAGACTGAAGAGCTGAAGAGCTGAAGACTGAAGAGCTGAAGACTGAAGAGCTGAAGAGCTGAAGACTGAAGAGCTGAAGATCTGAAGAGCTGAAGAGCTGAAGACTGGAGACTGAAGAGCTAAAGACTGAAGAGCTGAAGACTGAAGAGCTGAAGACTGAAGACTAAAGAGCTGAAGAGCTGAAGACTGAAGAGCTGAAGACTGAAGACTGAAGAGCTGAAGACTGAAGACTGAAGACTGAAGACTGAAGAGCTGAAGAGCTGAAGACTGAAGAGCTGAAGTGCTGAAGAGCTGAAGACTGAAGAGCTGAAGACTGAAGGCTGAAGACTGAAGAGCTGAAGACTGAAGATCTGAAGAGCTGAAGAGCTGAGGACTGAAGACTAAAGTGCTGAAGAGCTGAAGACTGAAGACTGAAGAGCTGAAGACTGAAGACTGAAGACTGAAGAGCTGAAGACTGAAGAGCTGAAGACTGAAGAGCTGAAGAGCTGAAGACTGGAGATTGGAGGCTGAAGACTGAAGACTGAAGACTGAAGAGCTGAAGACTGAAGAGCTGAAGACTGAAGAGCTGAAGATCTGAAAAGCTGAAGACTGGAGATTGGAGGCTGAAGACTGAAGAGCTGAAGACTGAAGACTGAAGAGCTGAAGATCTGAAGAGCTGAAGACTGGAGATTGGAGGCTGAAGACTGAAGACTGAAGAGCTGAAGATCTGAAGAGCTGAAGACTGGAGATTGGAGGCTGAAGACTGAAGACTGAAGAGCTGAAGACTGAAGACTGAAGAGCTGAAGACCTGAAGACTGAAGCGCTGAAGACTGAAGGGCTGAAGACTGAAGAGCTGAAGAGCTGAAGACTGAAGACTGAAGACTGAAGAGCTGAAGACTGAAGAGCTGAAGACTGAAGAGCTGAAGACTGAAGACTGAAGTGCTGAAGACTGAAGAGCTGAAGACTGGAGACTGAAGAGCTGAAGAACTGAAGAGCTGAAGACTGAAGAGCTGAAGACTGAAGAGCTGAAGACTGAAGAGCTGAAGACTGAAGAGCTGAAGACTGAAGAGCTGAAGGCTGAAGAGCTGAAGACTGAAGACTGAAGAGCTGAAGAGCTGAAGACTGGAGACTGAAGAGCTGAAGACTGAAGAGCTGAAGACTGAAGACTGAAGAGCTGAAGAGCTGAAGAGCTGAAGACTGAAGATCTGAAGAGCTGAAGAACTGAAGACTGGAGACTGGAGAGCTGAAGACTGAAGAGCTGAAGACTGAAGACTGAAGAGCTGAAGACTGGAGACTGAAGAGCTGAAGACTGAAGAGCTGAAGACTGAAGATCTGAAGAGCTGAAGAGCTGAAGACTGGAGACTGGAGACTGAAGACTGAAGACTGAAGAGCTGAAGAGCTGAAGACTGAAGACTGAAGAGCTGAAGACTGAAGAGCTGAAGAGCTGAAGAGCTGAAGACTGAAGATCTGAAGAGCTGAAGAACTGAAGACTGGAGACTGGAGAGCTGAAGACTGAAGAGCTGAAGACTGAAGACTGAAGACTGAAGAGCTGAAGACTGGAGACTGGAGACTGAAGAGCTGAAGACTGAAGAGCTGAAGACTGAAGATCTGAAGAGCTGAAGAGCTGAAGACTGGAGACTGGAGACTGAAGACTGAAGACTGAAGACTGAAGAGCTGAAGAGCTGAAGACTGAAGACTGAAGAGCTGAATCGGCATCCCGGGTCGAGTGTTGAGATCCTGCGCTGATCAGTTGGCGGGCTTGTTTACATCTATCTTTAATGAGTCTCTCGCTCAGTCAGTGGTACCCACTTGATTTAAGAAATCTGTAATTGTCCCTGTGCCAAAAAATAATAAGCCCTCTTGCCTAAATGACTATCGACCAGTAGCACTTACGTCACAAGTTATGAAGGTTTTTGAGAGGCTTATCAAGAACATAATGTGCTCCTCCATCCCAAACAACATCGATCCACTCCAGTTTGCCTATCGTCCCAATAGGTGTACTGAGGATGCTGTCTCTCATATTCTACATGCCACTCTCACCCACACTGACAAAAGTAATAAAGGGAATTATATGAGACTTTTATTTATAGATTATAGCCAAGCTTTTAATAATATAGTTCCCCTTAGATTGGTCTCCAAGCCCAGCTCTGTGATTGGGTTCTGAACTTTCTCTCGTGCAGAACTCGAGTAGTGAGAGTGGGTCAGACCATTTCTAACAGCATTACCCTGATTAGAGGAGCACCACAAGGATGCGTTTTGAGTCCCCTGCTCTACTCCCTCTACATGTATGACTATGTGTCCTCTCATAGCTCCACTTCTATTGTTAAATTTGCAGATGATACAGTTGGGATGGGTTTCATTGCTGATAACAACGAGACTGCATATTTGGATGAGGTGCAGAAATTAACAACATGGTGTCAGTTAAACAATCTCTCTCTGAACGTTCTAAAAACCAAAGAGATGGTTGTGGATTTCAGGAGAAGGCAGCAGCGGCACTATACCACCCTTAACATCGGTGGGACACCAGTAGAGAGAGTGAGCAGTTTCAAATACCTTGGAGTGCATATATCTGAGAATTTGACCTGGACTCATCATATTCAAGCCCAAGTAAAGACCGCTAGAAAAAGGCTATACCATCTGCGGTTGCTGAGGAAATTTGGGCTTTCACCTGCAATTTTAAAAACTTTCTATACTGGGGCAATAGAAAGTACATTGACTTATTGCATCTCTTAGTGGTTTGGAAACTGCTCAGCACAGGATTGTAAAGCCTTAAAGAGAGTGGTGCGCGCAGCAGAGCGTATAACTAGGAATGCTCTTCCATCTATGCAGGACATTTACATCCGACGGAGTGGAGTCAGGGCTGTTAAGATATACAAGGACTCCACTCACCCTGGAAATTCATTGTTTAAATTGCTGCAATCAGGTAGACGCCTTCGTAGTCTGATGGCTAAAACGGAGAGGCTCAGGAAGAGCTTCTTTCCTCAGGCCATCAGACTACTCAACTCGGACCTAAAAAAACATTGCACTTTAAGGAGTCTGATGACAATGTTTAATACATGGCACCACAGGTTGTGGTCTGATCTGTCTGACCCCAGTGCGGCTCAGTGATGAGCTGATCACCTTTCTGATATTATTGATTTTCTCAGAGAAGAAAGAAGCAAACTCACTGCACTTGCCGTCTAAAAGCATTTCACTGGGAATCTGGCTTGGGGGGTTGTCAGTCTCTCTACAGTAGCAAAAAGTGTTGTTTAAGTTGCTGTTTTAAATATTCAAGAAGAAAGTCTGTCTAGCTTTGCCTAGTTCCATATTAAAAGCATGGATGCTGTCTTTGTAGATGTTATAATGGACTACAAGTTTTGTCTTCCGCCACATGCGCTCTGCTCTTCTGCATTGTCTTTTCATATTTTGCACAGCTGTTGAGTTTCTCCAAGGTTCTCCTAGATACAAAGCATTGATTACTTAATATAAAAACTACTGTATATGAATTAAAGATATGACCAGTCTTTCTTGCCTTCTTATTGACTCTGTTCTCCAGGCCGGGGCGATCATGCTCTTCTCCTGAACATTCGGATCCTCATTTCCTCTCGTGTTTATGACATCTTCCCAAAATAATAACAAGTTTTACAATAAAAGTAAATTGATTATTGTTATTACTTTCATTGGAATAATACATACATATCAACATTATTTAATTTAATTATAACATTTGTTTTCCTTCTAATGCAATTTTCCACATCCAACCAAAAAGCTTTGTGCATATACAATTACAAAACAGATGGATAATAGATTATTTCTCTATTGAACAAAAATCACATGAATAATCAATATCTAAATTAAACCTGTCTATTCTAGATAAATAAACGTTTAAGAGGAAACTGGCGCGTCACAGCGCTGTTCTCGCGGGAGATCTCGCGATGACTTCATGGTTGCTAAGCAACTCAGGCGAGCGTTTGGTTCGCCTGGTGAAGGAGCTAAATCAAAACAGCTAACAGCTAACAGTGAAAACTGCTAACAGCGAACACAGAAAACAACCCGACCTGCAGATTCACAGCTGAAGGTGAGCGACACTTATGTTGTTAGCTCGTTGTGTGGTCATTTTTCCTAGTTTAATAGATGTTCTTCTTGAGAACAAGACCAAAGAAAACAGCTTTGTTGCTAATCTGCTGCTGACGAAGATCTGCGTGGTTTGCTTGTTTTATTGACGGTTTCTTTATGGCTGTCCATTTATCTATTTTGGTTTGTAGCTGAAAGGCAGAGCTTTAAACGTTAGTTTGCTCTCATGTTCAGTGTTTAGGGTTACCGTGTATAACAGTTAAACACAGACTCCGGGGTTCATCGCCTGTAATTCACTGTATGCCTCAAACTTTGATATTATATGCCCATATTAATCTCCATATTCTTTAGAAAACTCTTGGAATCGCTCTGTTGCTCTTTAAACACTTTCTTATTATTTTATTCAGTATTCAGCAGTTCTGGCAATATTTCAGCAGTAGAATCGCCATTGCGGAATGATTCACTCGTTTGAATCGGTTCACTGAATCGGAAATGTTTATAATGGTGTTCATGTTGATATGAATATGGTAATCAGTGTAATATCTGATGCTGTCATAGACAGGTGTGTCGTGCTACTGCCACTGCACTTTTTGTTTAATAATCATGAATTTGTTGTTCTAATTATTATACAGCTATTTTATATGTTTTGGTTTCTAAAGAAAGTGGATTAAATGTACCAGTTCACTTTTGTCATGTCGCCTGTTGTTTAACTGGTAACTCTCTAAACTGCTTAGGGTTAGTATTTAAGAAACCGGATTATCCAGTATTGCATCATTTTCTTTTTTATTTCATAATATTTCATTAATACATAATGCATGTGTGTACAGTACACACTTTAAAAAACAACACAATCAAATTTAAATGACACATTGTTTCAGAGCAGTTTTACATAAATTGGCCAAGAATGCATTTATCTGATCAAAAATACAGTAAAACAGTGAAATATTACTCCAGTGTAAATCAGCTGTTTTCTATGTGAATATATATAGTAAAGTGTAATTTATTCCTGTGATCAAAGCTGAGTTTCAGCAGCATTACTCCAGTCTTCAGTGTCACATGAGCCTTCAGAAATCACTCTAATATGATCTGATGATCAAGAAACATTTATGATTATTATCAGTGTTGAACACAGTTGTGCTGCTTCAGACAGTGAGAGAGATGATTTCTGAAGGATCACGTGAGTAATGATGCTGAAAATTCATCTTTGATCACAGGAATAAATAATAAACTACAAACTCTGAGCACTGTGAGCTGTACTGTATTACACTTCTGGTGTACTCTCACTCTTCTCCTCTTTATTCTGTTGGACTGCTAAAGACCCACGGAACAGATATGTTTAATAAAGACCAGTTAGAAGTGCAGTCAATTTAAGACAAGCGTCAGAATTATAATAAATGAAAGAAAAGTTTTACTGAAGATAGTTTGCAGCTTCGAGACTCAAGGCGATGATACACAGGGCAACTTTTTGAGCAATGTTGCCGTCAACTGGCAACCAGATGAGACACAGGCCCCACGACCGACCTAAAGTATCCAGATAGAAATGTATTGCCCATTTTCAATGGGAAAGTGCCCAAGCAACAATCGCTCGGCAAGATTGCTCAAAATGTTGCCCTGTGTATCATCACCTCCAGGAGATCAGTTACCGTTACTAACATCAGCGGTTATAGCCTAAACCAGGGTCTAACATCAGTGTTTATAGCCTAAACCAGGGTCTAACATCAGCGGTTATAGCCTAACCCAGGGTCTAACATCAGCGGTTATAGCCTAACCCAGGGTCTAACATCAGCAGTTATAGCCTAACCCAGGGTCTAACATCAGTGGTTATAGCCTAACCCAGGGTCTAACATCAGCAGTTATAGCCTAACCCAGGGTCTAACATCAGCAGTTATAGCCTAACCCAGGGTCTAACATCAGCGGTTATAGCCTAACCCAGGGTCTAACATCAGCGGTTATAGCCTAACCCAGGGTCTAACATCAGCGGTTATAGCCTAAACCAGGGTCTAACATCAGTGTTTATAGCCTAAACCAGGGTCTAACATCAGTGTTTATAGCCTAAACCAGGGTCTAACATCAGCGGTTATAGCCTAACCCAGGGTCTAACATCAGCGGTTATAGCCTAACCCAGGGTCTAACATCAGCAGTTATAGCCTAACCCAGGGTCTAACATCAGTGGTTATAGCCTAACCCAGGGTCTAACATCAGCAGTTATAGCCTAACCCAGGGTCTAACATCAGCAGTTATAGCCTAACCCAGGGTCTAACATCAGCGGTTATAGCCTAACCCAGGGTCTAACATCAGCGGTTATAGCCTAACCCAGGGTCTAACATCAGTGTTTATAGCCTAAACCAGGGTCTAACATCAGTGGTTATAGCCTAACCCAGGGTCTAACATCAGCGGTTATAGCCTAACCCAGGGTCTAACATCAGCAGTTATAGCCTAACCCAGGGTCTAACATCAGCGGTTATAGCCTAACCCAGGGTCTAACATCAGCGGTTATAGCCTAAACCAGGGTCTAACATCAGTGTTTATAGCCTAAACCAGGGTCTAACATCAGCGGTTATAGCCTAACCCAGGGTCTAACATCAGCGGTTATAGCCTAACCCAGGGTCTAACATCAGCGGTTATAGCCTAAACCAGGGTCTAACATCAGTGTTTATAGCCTAAACCAGGGTCTAACATCAGTGTTTATAGCCTAAACCAGGGTCTAACATCAGCGGTTATAGCCTAACCCAGGGTCTAACATCAGCGGTTATAGCCTAACCCAGGGTCTAACATCAGCAGTTATAGCCTAACCCAGGGTCTAACATCAGTGGTTATAGCCTAACCCAGGGTCTAACATCAGCAGTTATAGCCTAACCCAGGGTCTAACATCAGCAGTTATAGCCTAACCCAGGGTCTAACATCAGCGGTTATAGCCTAACCCAGGGTCTAACATCAGCCGTTATAGCCTAACCCAGGGTCTAACATCAGTGTTTATAGCCTAAACCAGGGTCTAACATCAGTGGTTATAGCCTAACCCAGGGTCTAACATCAGCGGTTATAGCCTAACCCAGGGTCTAACATCAGCAGTTATAGCCTAACCCAGGGTCTAACATCAGCGGTTATAGCCTAACCCAGGGTCTAACATCAGCGGTTATAGCCTAAACCAGGGTCTAACATCAGTGTTTATAGCCTAAACCAGGGTCTAACATCAGCGGTTATAGCCTAACCCAGGGTCTAACATCAGCGGTTATAGCCTAACCCAGGGTCTAACATCAGCGGTTATAGCCTAACCCAGGGTCTAACATCAGCGGTTATAGCCTAACCCAGGGTCTAACATCAGCGGTTTGCCTAACCCAGGGTCTAACATCAGCAGTTATAGCCTAACCCAGGGTCTAACATCAGCGGTTATAGCCTAACCCAGGGTCTAACATCAGCGGTTATAGCCTAACCCAGGGTCTAACATCAGCGGTTATAGCCTTACCCAGGGTCTAACATCAGCGGTTATAGCCTAACCCAGGGTCTAACATCAGCGGTTATAGCCTAACCCAGGGTCTAACATCAGCGGTTATAGCCTAACCCAGGATCTAACATCAGCCGTTATAGCCTAACCCAGGGTCTAACATCAGCGGTTATAGCCTAACCCATGGTCTAACATCAGTGGTTATAGCCTAACCCAGGGTCTAACATCAGCGGTTATAGCCTAACCCAGGGTCTAACATCAGCGGTTATAGCCTAACCCAGGGTCTAACATCAGCAGTTATAGCCTAACCCAGGGTCTAACATCAGCGGTTATAGCCTAACCCAGGGTCTAACATCAGCAGTTATAGCCTAACCCAGGGTCTAACATCAGCGGTTATAGCCTAACCAGGGTCTAACATCAGCATAGCCTAACCCTAGGTCTAACATCAGCAGTTATAGCCTAACCCAAGGTCTACCTCATTACTCCATGTTGGATGATCCTGATTGGCTAAGAAATAGATGAACACACATAAACAGAGAGACTGACGGATATCTCCATCGGTTATGCAGCTGACACTCGAGTTAGGCTCGTCTCTCGAGGACACTTTAATCTCACACAGTAAAGACTTTAACTCCGTGACCCCTGAGACCCCAGCTGTTGGGTACCCCAGAAAAGCATGTGTGTGTAGTGCTTTCTCAAACACAAAGCAAGTCCATGTTTCAGTCCTGCACTGTTACTGCAGTCCGACCCTCAGAGATACACATCACAGTAATCACACTGCTCACTTCACAAGCCTAGAGAAGTCATCCAACCCATGTGATGTTTAGAAGGAAACACACTGATTAATCCCTTGATTATAATCACTCATTAGATTGAAGCATCAGTGGATTCCAGAACTACACTATCAGAACACAATGGCGGGTCAGAGGCCCGTGAGCCGCGGGTCATTCAGCACTGGACGCCCACCGACGGCCCTCAGAGTCAGCACTGCGGTGAGTGTGTGTGTGTGTGTGTGTGTGTTACGGGTCACCGACGGCCCTCAGAGTCAGCACTGCGGTGAGTGTGTGTGTGTGTGTGTGTGTGTGTTACGGGTCACCGACGGCCCTCAGAGTCAGCACTGCGGTGAGTGTGTGTGTGTGTGTGTGTGTGTGTTACGGGTCACTGACGGCCCTCAGAGTCAGCACTGCGGTGAGTGTGTGTGTGTGTGTGTGTGTGTGTGTTACGAGTCACTGACGGCCCTCAGAGTCAGCACTGCGGTGAGTGTGTGTGTGTGTTACGGGTCACTGACGGCCCTCAGAGTCAGCACTGCGGTGAGTGTGTGTGTGTGTGTGTGTGTGTGTGTGTTACGAGTCACTGACGGCCCTCAGAGTCAGCACTGCGGTGACGGTGAGTGTGTGTGTGTGTGTGTGTGTGTGTGTGTGAGTGTGTGTGTGTTATGGGTCACCGACGGCCCTCAGAGTCAGCACTGCGGTGAGTGTGTGTGTGTGTGTGTGTTACGGGTCACTGACGGCCCTCAGAGTCAGCACTGCGGTGACGGTGAGTGTGTGTGTGTGTGTGTGTGTGTGTGTGTGTGTGTGTGTGTGTTACGAGTCACTGACGGCCCTCAGAGTCAGCACTGCGGTGAGTGTGTGTGTGAGTGTGTGTGTGTGTGTGTTACGGGTCACTGACGGCCCTCAGAGTCAGCACTGCGGTGACGGTGAGTGTGTGTGTGTGTGTGTGTGTGTGTGTGTGTGTGTTACGGGTCACTGACGGCCCTCAGAGTCAGCACTGCGGTGACGGTGAGTGTGTGTGTGTGTGTGTGTGTGTGTGTGTGTGTGTGTGTTACGAGTCACTGACGGCCCTCAGAGTCAGCACTGCGGTGAGTGTGTGTGTGAGTGTGTGTGTGTGTGTGTTACGGGTCACTGACGGCCCTCAGAGTCAGCACTGCGGTGACGGTGAGTGTGTGTGTGTGTGTGTGTGTGAGTGTGTGTGTGTTACGGGTCACTGACGGCCCTCAGAGTCAGCACTGCGGTGAGTGTGTGTGTGTGTGTGTGTTACGGGTCACTGACGGCCCTCAGAGTCAGCACTGCGGTGACGGTGAGTGTGTGTGTGTGTGTGTGTGTGAGTGTGTGTGTGTTACGGGTCACTGACGGCCCTCAGAGTCAGCACTGCGGTGAGTGTGTGTGTGTGTGTGTGTTACGGGTCACTGACGGCCCTCAGAGTCAGCACTGCGGTGACGGTGAGTGTGTGTGTGTGTGTGTGTGAGTGTGTTACGGGTCACTGATGGCCCTCAGTGTCAGCAGTTGGTCTGCTTACGTCACGGGGAGGGTTTACTGGTGATTGGTTGAAACAGGCCAATCAGGATGCTCTCTGTCTTACACGCGCTTCATGAGGCACACACACGCAAGGTCTCTCTCCCTCCGTTGCTCTGCCGCGCTCGCGCTACACGGTCTGGAGCACAGTCTCTTCTGTCTCGCTTGCGCGCTCAAATCCCGGGAGTTTGAACTAATTTGCGAGTCTCAGGGAGCATATCAATATGCGGGTGACTTCCAGAACTTCCGGGAGACTTGGGATGTCTGTATTTTGCGTCTCGAGCATCAGGTTGCGCAATCAGTTCGCTCGCAACATAAGTGATGGATTAAAATAGTGCTACCGCAGAAATATTAAATTAAAACGGTCTTTACAAAGCGAAGCACTAAATATAAAGGCAGTTAATAACAGCAGCAGTAAATTATTGTTTTTTAGTCACTGTACTCAGTGGTTTTCAGCGAATGTTTGTGCACTAATGCATCATTTTTCCTGTCTTTTTAATCAAGCCTGTTAGCTTGCTGCGTACCTCCATTACGTTCTCTTTATATAGCATTTGTCTACTATTAAGTTTTAATGGGCTATATGCACGCATAACTTCCACGTTTGATGCAAGGATGCTCTTGCGTTTCCGGTTGGGGAGATTTAAAGCGGAGGAAAACCGAGGGAAACGGGATTATGGCAGAGTCTTCAAAATGTACTGTCCTCTCGTCTTTGAAACGAAACTTTAATACGTTTAGATGTAATTTTATATAGTTATGTTTATTTAATATAATAAACAAAGAAGTATAAACAAAATGAAGGGGTGTCTGTTTTGTCTGTTTTTGTGACTAATGTTTCTTTAGTATAGCAATAGAGTATAAAAACCAATATAAATTCTCGGTATAGCATTGGACTCTACGATCGGCGGAAGTAATCCAGCATCCTTAGACCTTCACCGGAAATATTGTTTTTCAAACGCGATCTACTGCGGCTCTATGTTCACACGCTTGTTTTCAGTCTTTCTATATTTATTTTTACAAATTATCCTTATAATTCAATTAATTTTATTAATAAAAATTAAATGAATTATATATTTGAGATGTTTTTAGTTTATATCTTCACATCTGAACAACATGTCTGTAAATTTGTTTTAACAAAAATTGTGTTAAAACAATATGTTGGATATAAATGTTTTTTTTTTACATTAATGGTTGTCAACTTGCCATCAGCAATTATCATTAAAAACAATGCAAATTTTGATATTTGTAAAACTCAATGTGTGGCTTTTGCACTTATTAAAGGAGCTGTATGTAAGATTGTGGCCAAAATTGGTACTGCAATCACTTTCAAATTACTGTAGAGCTGTGTATCCCCTCCCCCTCCCCCCTGACTCGAGGTTGCCAGATAGGCTGCAGGATCCAGCAGGAACATAGGCTGCTACAAGGAGCTTTCAACTAGAGCAGAGCTGGCAACTCGGATGCCGAAACACTACTGACTTCGTGATTGGTAGATAGGTGGAGGGTGGGGCTTCAGGCCAAAACACAAGATGACAACATCAACATCAGTTGAGGGCTGCAACTTCACTTTTTAAATGACAATATCGTGGCCGTACTAACTGTTGTCAGAGATATAAGTATTTGATATGAACATGATTTCTTAATGTCTAGAGACACATCAGGGCCATTTTATGATTAATTGAAATACATTTCTTACATACAGCTCCTTTAAAGTACACTTTTACACATAAATATCCTAATTTAGGGTTTTAGGTAACACTTTATTTTACGGTGTCCTTGTTACATATGTTACATGTACTTACTCCAGTAATAACAGTAAATTATGCATAATTACATGCAACTAACCCTCAACCTAATCCTACCCTATTCCTATAGTAAGTACATGTAGTTACTTAATATTACTCTGTACTTAAATATATAATTACACTGTAACAAGGACACCTTAAAATAAAGTGTAACCGGGTTTTATTTAGTCATAATAAACAAAAAA